TTTTTTTTTTTTCGTTGAGTTCCTTTGACACTTGACTTTCTCGGCGAGAAGAACATCACGAAAGCACCCAAAGAAGACTTCTTTGACAAAGAAGTGATGTTTGCCGAAGCATACAAGAAGACTAGACATTCAACGAACGCCACAGATAAGGAAAATCATATAAACGGCTACAAGTATCACCAACGAATGTATAAACCAACAAGAATCACCAACGAATGTATAAACCAACAATAATACTTCAGAAAAAATAAACACACTTCTTTGACGAAAGACATACCTAAAAAAATCTTCGGGGACAAAAATATGTGATTCTTTAACGAATTTCTTTAAATTTCATTGTGAGCTTCAATGTACCATTCGCCGAAGATTTTGAGGCTCATTAACCACGAGTGATCCCGACGTGCATTCGAGATTTCGCTACCGAATCTCACTTCGGGATTTTCATGATTTACTTAGAGTTATTTGTACACCATATTCTGATGTGAATTCAGGATTTCGTCACAGAATCACACTTCGGAATTTTTGAGATTCAATCGGTTTTATTCCGACGTGGATTCGGGATTTCGTTACCGAATCGCACTTCTGGATTTTTTTGATTCGATCGGTTATGTCCCGACGTGTATTCGTGCTTTCATTATCCAATCGCACTTCGAGATTTTTGGGATTCGATCGGTTATATCCCGATGTGTATTCGGGATTTTGGTACCGAATCTCACTTCGGGATTTTCATGATTCACTTAGTGCTATTTATATATCATATCTCGATGTGGATTCAGAATTTCGTTATCGAATTGCATTTCTTGATTTTCATGATTTGACTAGTTATATCCCTACGTGCATTCATGATTTTGATACTGAAATGTACTTCGGGATCTTCATGATTAAGTATTATTTCTGCACCATGCCTGATGTGGATTCGGGATTTCGTTAACGAATCGCACTTTGGGATTTTCGGGATTTGATTGGTTATCTCTCGACGTCGATTCGCAATTTCGTTACGGAATCGCACTTCACGCAAGACTCGCTCGATCATATCCCGACATGGATTCAAAATTTTGTTACTGAATCGCACTTCAAGAATTTCAGGATCTACTTTTTTTACATTAAAGAAAATTTAGTATCTACTTAGTGATATTTCTAGAACATATCCCGTTGTGTATATGAAACAAAACAATGTAAAAAAAAAGGTTACAAAAAAATTGAGAGGAAAAAGAAACGGGCAGAACATTGAAGGTGGAAGTGTGAAATTAAAAAAAAAAAACAGATGATTTTTTAATAAACAAATTGAAATCAAATAAAAATTACGGTGGAAAAAAAATTAGGTAAAAATAAAAAATATTTGAAAACAATGTATGCTAGCCTGGCGACA